TCGATCTCGAGCCGGGCCTATGGGCGTTTCTTAGTATGACTGTACTTCCCTACGTTCTTCACATTTTCACCCCACACACCTGAATTTGCTGGCCGAAGCATCCATTGGCCAAGCCCTATTTTGTGGGACTCTACAAATTCGGGTTTCACTCAGGCCTAGCATCATTTCAATGCATAAAATAGTACAGCGACCCCGATGTACAAGTCGGTGTTGTGCTCCGTTCGAAGTTGCATAGGGTATCTAACTAAGTAGAGGGACTTACGGTTAGTCTGGAATATGTTGGGTCTGGTTTCCATTGCTCTATCTTGGCCCTTGTCATCAATAGCGCCTCTAAGATTTTGGTACTGTAAATTAAATCGTTTAAGGATGCGGTGGAGATGTCCTGCAGACGATTCCAGCACTTCGCCAGTGTTCGAAAACTGCGGAAGCACTCATTTATGAAGGTAGTTCTATTTTCTTGCCACGACCAATATTTGAGATTATGGCGTCATCCAATATAGAATTTCTCGGATATTTACTTGGAACTCTTTGTTTAAGAGTTGCGCAATGCGAAACGAAGTCACCTTTCGGTCGACTCGGAGTGACCGGACAGTGTACGAAGGCCTCGTTCTCGATGGAATCTCTTCTTCAGGTAGGGATTAATCAACAGCGGAAGCTAGTATGTTGTTATATTCGCAGTTTCAATGCCTTCTTCCGCTAAACCACCAGTCCCACATTTTTTTAATACTGTTAGGATATTTATTTTACTGTTTTTTTTTGTCGACTTTCAATCCCCACAGATCGTTTAAAATAAGAGTTTTCTTCAGAGACCGATGTTCCCTTCATATCCATGGGCATCATTCTTACCGTTGATGTCAGCAGTGAGCCAGCAACGAAGCAACGACTCGCTGTCGCCTGAGAATCCATCTCTTAGCAGTGAATAGAGTTTACTATATGACCTAAGACATTGTGTGATGTAGGTGAGAGTGCAGACGACGAGAGGGCTGCATACGGTAGCTCTGCGTCTAGCAACAACTTAAGGTATTTTGTGACAGTTTGGAAATACTAGCCTTTCCTCTCCTTTCCTAATTTTCTTTTTTCTCTCATTCTGTTAAGAAAAGATCTTGTCTACAGTTATCTGTACGAGATTCAGAAGATCCAGGTGGCCTTGGTGCCCTCCATTACGCTCTGAAAAATATTTCAAAAATGGTCCCATACTTCTTTTCCCGCTGCCGAGCACGTCGTAATTGCGGACAACGCACGTGCCATCAACCACATGACATAGGTTCTCCGAAGCTACCGTGACTCCG